ACACACACACACACACATACACACACACACACACACACACACACACATGTCTGGTTTGCTATCTTTGTGGGGACTCTCCATAGGCGTAATGGTTTTTCTACTGTACAGACCGTATATTCTATTGCCCTACACCAACCCTACACCTAAACCTACTTTCCAACTTTCTGTATTTTTAGATTTTCAAAAAACTTAATTCTGTGTGATTTATTAGCTTGTTTACCCATGGGGACCTCAATTTAGGTCCCCACCGTGACACAAGTCCCCATGAGTCTGTGTGTATTCAGGTTTAAGTCCCCACCAGAATAGAAAAACAGGTACACACACACACATATATATATATATAGTAGTACTGTATACTGTACTGTATATGTACCTGTATATGTACACTATAGTATATATACTGTAGTTTTTTCATCCGTTAAGAATAAAGTTTATGTTGATTATCTGTGATATTTTCCTGATATAGGAGGACGTTCCTCATGATACCAAAGAAAATAAGACTTCAGAAGCAACTCCTGGTTCAGAACCAAAGGTCGCTGAGGGTCACGGCAGGGTTCGGTCCATGGCAACGCTACTGCTGGCTAAATTTGAGGAGAACTCACTGTCGGCCTCAGCCACTGCAACACGCCGACAGGTGTGTGAGTATTTGTGTGATGCATGTGTGCTTTTACCTGTATAAAGGTGTGTTTGCTTGTGCATACATATATTTGTTTTCAAGTTAAGTTACACCATGTCCTGACGAGGTGCAACACAACTTTTCTTTTCAAAGTTGCTTTGTTTTAAAAAAAAAAACTAAGCAGGAGAAAGGATTTAATGCTTCATCGTGTCAATCTGACTTGATTAACAACAGTCTTATAGTCACTCAACAAAAAAAAATCACCATGTTTGATAAAAGATGGAGTATTTTGTTTTAGTTGTGATAAAATGTCACAATGCCTCTGTTAGTCATGAGATTTTGTGATGTTTTCCTAATATTGAGTGAATTAGCTTACCTTGCCCATCAGCGAAAGCTGCTGATTCATAGAGTGGCTCCTGCACAAACTTAGCATACACACTTTAACAGGGTGAACTAGAATTGGCAAAGCCTCTAGGCAGTTATAAGGCGTTTTATTAGATTAAAAGCCATTTAGGTGATTGACAGTGACAACTGCGGCATTAGAAGACTGCACCGGGAATTTTTACTCTACAATGAATTAACATTTTGATGTCCACCAACCCTACTTAAGAAAAAGCACACAACACAGCAGGAGCTGACGAGTTTCCGCTACAAGAAAAAGGTCAAAGTTCACTCTGCCAATTTAAAGCGAGAAGGTAAAAACACACCTGTGCTATAAAATAAAATTGGTCCAGTAGTGTACACTTTTGTATACTAATGGCTAATCTGGTTCTGTTTTAAGCTTCTTTGGTCTCTGGGACTGTTATGAAGGAGCTCTGTGTGTGAACTGGCCTGGGGCTCTACAGCCTATCAGTGACTGGAGGCCATGGGACATGTGATTTGAGGGTCTTAACTGAAGAATCTCAGGCAGAATGATTTATTATCTCTATCTAATCCTCTATGCTTCTTACTGACTTTGCCTTTGACTGACAGGTTTATTTCTATTGATTTATTGATGGATGGATGGATGGATAGATAGATAGATAGATAGATAGATACACTTTCACTGTCAAAATCACTTTCAGAATGATTTTTTTCCCAGTTGATGAATGATAAAAACATTTACAGCCAAAATCCAATCAAAAACCAATTAGACTTTAAAGCACTCAAGTGTTTAAAGCGGCAGACGTCATAACTGAAGAGCGTGCTTATATAATAAATTATTGCCCATTGGTGTGGACATTAATATAGCTGTTGTTATGGTTATCTTTATAGTATTCATTTTTGTTGCCTTTCTCTTTTTTCTAAGACCAATCTGTCATTTCCACACCTTTATGCTCTCATATGAATATTGATACATCATTTCTTTTGTCTTTGTGATGGTTTTCATCTCTGAAGCATTTTGCATTGCTGCTTGTTTTCCATGCTCATCTTTTGATTTGTAGAGCTACATTCAGATGTATACGGGCGGAGTGAGCTCATTGGCTCAGCAGATAGCCAATCAGATTCAGAGTCAGCAGGATCAAGCTCCCAAGCTCCTTCACAGGAGGGAGTTGGTAAGAGTTCACCTGTAGTGCTGCCGACAAATCTCCCCTAACATTGTGAATGTTCTTGTGTCCATTTTAGTGCCTGTATTACTGCGTGTATGAGGTCTGTAACCCAGCGCTGACTTTTGTTTGGTGTTATATTTACTAATTACTGTGAGTGTGTGAGTTGCTGCTGTAATCCAGTTTCTCTAAGAAGGCTCAACGCTTTACGGCTTTGTTAGACTGATCACACCCAAAGTGTTGTACATGGAAGTGCTGCAATCAAATGTAATTTACTGTCATGATCAAACTTGTTTCTATGACATGTGGTGAAATCTGAGACTTTGTTTGAAGCATTTCATTATGTTAGCCATATTTTATTTAATATATTAATATTATTTTTTATTTATTAAAATGAAAAACTAAAATAAAATGTAATATAAAATATTAAATAATAAAATTATTTGCTAAAAATAAATAAAATAATTATAATAATAAATAATAATAATAAATAATAATAAAGAACGCACACTGTCACCCCAGTTCTGTCCTGACAGCTGTAATTGCCCATGTTGAGCATCTTTCTTTTGACTCTTGACCTTTGGCTTCTCACCTGTAGGGTTCTCAAAAGGAGTTTCCTGTGAATATGGGCGGCAGCGATGTGTGTTATTTCTGTGGCCGTCGCGTTTATGTCATGGAAAGGCTGAGCGCGGAGGGAAAGTTCTTCCACAGGAGCTGCTTCCAGTGTGACCACTGCAGCTCCACGTTACGCCTGTCCAACTACGCTTACGACCAGCTACATGGTGTGTGTGTACGATTAACCGCTTCATACTTTTACTAATAAAATGAACATTCTCAGTACTTAGTGTTTTTCAAGTGAAAAAAGTGAAGTGAAGTGAAGTGAAGTGACATGTGGAGCAGTGGGCAGCCATTTTTTTGCTGCGGTGCCCGGGGAGCAGTTGGGGGTTCGGTGCCTTGCACCTCAGTCGTGGTATTGAAGGTGGGAGAGAGCGCTGTACATTCACTCCCCCCACCTACAATCCCGCAACAGGACAGCCCACTGCAGGAGGTCCCAGAGGAGACGCTTGCACAGCACAACCTCAGCGCTAGCCTGCAGGAGAAGAACACAGAGGAGCAGTCCAGGTATCCAAACATACTCCTGTTATGCTCCTAATATTTACTGGCATGTTTTCCCTGGCTAAATCTGTCTCCTTTTTGGGTCTTCAGTAGCTCTGAGTCGGACCTAGATGAGGAGGAGCTTGCCTGGAAGAAGGAGGAGGGGCCGAACATCAGGACCAATGGAGAGAGAGAGTTAGGCCTGGGGAAGGAGCTAAAGGAGGAAGAGGGAGGAGAGAACCAGGAAAAACAAGAGGAGGAGGAGGCTGAGGATGAGGAAGAGGAAGAAGAAGTAGGAGAAGTTTCAGAAGAAGAACAAGACCAGGGAGATTCTAGTGATGGTGGGTATTTGTTTCTATTCAATTTCTTTTAAAAATGGCTCTGATAAAATGGGCAAAGACATCTGACATTGTTTTTGACTATATAGCTTGTTTATTTCATAAAAATCATCTTAAGATGAGGTATTGTTCAATTTAATATCTGTCTTTATCTATTTTTGTGTCATATTTCCACAATATGTTTGTTTGTGTGTTTGTGTGTGAGGTGAATGTTGTCATGCTTGTTTGTATGTTTATTGTTGTGTATTCCCCACTGTATGTGTGTGTATTTTGGGGTGTGTTGACGTGTATGTATAGAGGGTGAGTACTGCCCTTGGGAGAGGGAACGGCTTTCAGGGGTGTGGCTTGATGAAGAGGAGGCGGGGTTTGTTAAAGGTAGCACCGCCCCTGATGACAATTGATGGCCTTCATTAGCATAAAAGATTTGTTTGCCGGTTATTTCATTTGCAGGCTGTGCATGATTAATAGTGTGTTTTTAATGTTTGTATATTTTGCAGTTGACTTTTTCTGTTTTTGGTTATGCTATGGAAATAATGTGCAGTTGTTTTAGTTTGCCTGTTTTATGTATTTTGCAAATTAGTATCCAACTTAAACCATGTCCTAACCAGGCACAACATGACATGTTTTCACATTGTAATTTATCTGCCCACACAGAAAGCAATAATGCTGCACAGTGCAAACAATCACTACCAATCCCAACATATTTGCTACATAGTGTAAGATTCTGAACCAGTAAGATTTCACTAAGGGGCAAGACTTTGTAGTTTGCCACAACAGAAATAATAAAAAGCTACTTTAATTCACTATGCCTGGTTAGCACATACTTTTAATTACTTTTGCAGTTTATGAAGTATAAATAAAGAAATTACCTACTTTATAGATACTAGACAGTAAAAATTGATGCACAGCAAAAATTGTACACAAAATGTACACGAAAATGATGCACATGGTACAAGTAATGTGAAATGTACTACACTAAAGCCATAACAGTAGCAATAGTTAGATGCACACTCATAATAGGAACTATTTGGGGCGGGGGGAAAAAATATATATTTCTAAATTAATATAATTTTTATATTTAAATTGATATATGTTTAATAAAAAATATATTTTAAATAATTTTTTATTTAGCTATTGTACATGTTTAAGAACTGATTTGAAATATAGTTCCAGAATATGGATCTGTCAAAACCTCCAAAACAATAAATTTGCTTTTCTATAGTTTATTTGTACCATGACTGAACCCTCTTTACAAGCTTATCTTTTTTCAGGCTGTTTTATGTTACTGCTTGTTTAAAAGCGCCTGAAAGTCTGCACCGCTTCCCCCACAAAACTATTTTGTTAAGAAGATTCTAGAACTAATCTAGAATTCTTTCAAATTTTCATTAAACTTTTTTCTTTATCCCTTCATTCTTTAAATAAGCAGAGTCGTTTGAAGGATACAGTGATGACACAGATATAGACACCAGCTCCGTAAGAGAGTCCAAACCATGTGACCAACAGGAACAAAAAGAGTCCATTTCATTGCACCAGTCACCTGCAGAGTCCTCACCCTCTTTGAAACCACCAGAATCAGGCCCCACTCCCACATCTGAGCTATCGACAAACCCCGAGAACCCACCTGTCAAGAGGTTAGAGGTCGTAGAGGAGTTCTGGCTGAAGAGTGCAGAGATCAGGAAGAGTTTAGGCCTGACTCCACTGCCTAGAGAATGCGACCCCAAACATACGGCAGCCCAAACATCTAACGTTAAAGAAAGCTTTTATACCTCAGTCGCTTACATACCGTCCTGCAATACCAATTCTGTCTACCAAATGCCAAGAAACTGTGACTCCAGCACACAAACTCAATCTCAAAGTACATCCTCGCCTGAACCATCTCACACTATGGACGGCGATGCAGGCGTTGCTTTAGAAGAGACGATTGGCCGCTGTTCTGTAATCCACAGACTAAGTATCACTGTAGAAGGTTGTGTGATGGGGGACAAGCAGGATTTGGACCTAAATTCCACCTCATTTGGAAATGAAAGCTTTTTAAATCCAGACACAGGTCTTCCGACTCCTCCCTACAGCCCATCTCACTCCCCTCTCGTCGGCAAGCAGTGTCGCGCCCTTCATCATTCTGAACCGATACTGGACCGAGAGGTTATGGTCTTCTCATCGACCTGCGCTACTCCTGTTCCACAGCGGGACGGTTTTAATCCCGACCTCGATCAAGCTCGGAGTCTTCCTCTGGATGAAATTGAGATCCTGTGTGGAGATGAGGCAGAAGAAGCTTCCAGACTTCTGGAAAGATCCGGTGTCTCGGAAACCGGGGACACGGCCAGCCAGACGGACAACCGTAGGCTGGAGCAAAGGAGGACACTTCCAGACCGGATGGTCGCCCCACTGCTGGCAGGAGGACCGGAGGTCAGGCTTCGTAGGTCAGAGATGAAGTTGTGGGGGGCGGACACGGGTGTGGAGGAGAAAGAGAAAAAGCGCAACTCGTTGTTCTCCCCCCGTAAAAGCAGGAAGAGCATGAACACAGCGGCTGAGACTCAGCGGGAGCCAGGAAAGCACAAGTCCCTCTGGAAGACTGTTTTTTCGGTGTATAAGAAGGACAAAAAGAGGAAGGAGGCTGTGATGGTGGCGGAAACTCTACCTGCCGCAACTAACACCGAGAGCAAGCGGAAAGTGTCGGGAATCAACAGAACCTCAGGTGAGATGGATGGATAGATGGATCTATAAATGAACTGTACCACATTAACATGACTTTAAGGGTCTTTCTACATTGCAGACTTGTGTTTCCGAAAGAATCCTAGTTTCTCTGAAGATACAGACTTGTCCTGCCATGCTCTTCTAGAAAGATGTCCTCTTAGAGCTCAGGTAGAGTAAAACACGCCTATCTCCTTTCTCTGATCCTTAAGGCCACATTTAACATTATTCTGCATATTTTCAAGGGCAAAATGCAGCCATTTCAATAGAAATCCACGCAATTGGAAATTTCATAAAGCATATCTCATGCATAAAACTCTGCATGGTTTTAAAGTGACTTCTGTGTTAGCTATGCTTCATACATTGCCACATTATTGACAATAGACAATGAAAATTCTGCTACCTTTAGAATTAAATAGGCAAATTTTTGCTGTTGTGCCTTTGAGACTTTTATGTAACCGGCCTTTTCACATGTGATACTTTGTATCAGAAGTCCAAGGACTTCAGAGTGAGTCATTTTTGCAGCTTAGTTCCAATAAATTGTTTTTTTTAATCTAAAAGACGCCATGATTTCACAGTTCAGTGAACTCTTTTATTTTTGAGAAAAAAAAGGAAAGTTTGCTTTCTCAAAATATGACTCTGTTGCTTTTTATCTTTGCCACTCATTTTCCTTTTTTTTTTTATAGATTTTTGTCCTTTACATTTTCTCATGGTCCTCTTCATTCTTCAAATATTTTCAATCTTACTGAACACAACAATAAGACTCATTGCCTAGCAATTTATCCGTGACTCCTTAGAGCTTTATAGCTGGACTAATGGAATAATTTAACGCATTGTGACATTTGTGAGTTTTAAATATTAAACGTTTGTGGTAATTTAATGTCTTTTTCTGGATGTGCTCTCAGCTGAGGGAAGAACTGTATGATATCAAGACAGACCTTTTGAAAGAAACAATATATGAGGAGGTGCATGAAGGGGATGAGGTATCAAATATGGCATAGAATTGTTTTTCAGATTTTAGATTGTGATGCTGAAAGTAGCTTGTAAAACTGTTTCCTGTGATTAGTAGCACATAGATGTGTATTTTGTAATGGAGTTAGTGCTGTGTTTAGCACTGTTAAGCTGTTGTACTCAAAATACAGTTTAGATTAATTCAGTTTCTGCCTTCTCTCTCCCGAGTCGCTTTACGTGCCTCATGCGTTGGCATTCAAGAGGGCATATGCTGTTAAGGTAGCATCTTTTTATTTCACGTGCTGAGCCCCTTCAGTCTTTAATCCCCATTGGCTGAATCTGCAACACTCAGCATCTTCTTCCTCAATAGAAACGCAGTGTTTTGCCAGAGCTGCCGACCAAAGCGGCCACCCCAGTGTCGTCATGTCCGTCAGAGGTGGTAGGTGTTTGGGTGGTGTTCCCGGACCCTTCCAGCATAAGTTTCTGTACCACGCTGTTTCAGAGAGCAGAAACGGAGGAAGAACTCAACGCCAAGCTGACACGCCGAGTGCAGAGAGCAGCGCGCAGACAGGCCAAGCAGGAGGAGCTGCGGAGGCTGCACAGGGCGCAGGTCTGTGGGTGATATCTTTGAAGCATGCTTGTTTATCTGCCACAAACAATATGTATTTATTTTTGTATATGTCGTCTCAGATAATCCAGCGTCAGTTGGAGCAGGTGGAGGTCAAGCAGAGGCAGCTGGAGGAGAAGGGTGTAGCTGTGGAGAAAGCACTCAGAGGCGAAGCAGGTACCTGTCACTTTCTTGTCAAACGGATGAGCCTAAGGAATTATACAGTTTTATAGAAACCATTTAATTATTAATTAATTTTGCAATTTAAAGATTCAGGACTGATTAAATTGGATTCAGTTATTCAAAACATTATTTTATTTTAAACATTATATTATATTATTTTATTATTTTACATAGCTTTAATATTACTTGTGTATGTCGTTTCATGCAAATTGTGATCAATCCTGTTCTTAATCAGTTTTGATCTGATAAATAATAATAATAAATAATAAAAAAATATTATGAAAATAATACATAATAATGCATTAAAAATCATAAATATATAATTTTATATAATATAATCAAATAAATATAAATATCTAAATAAGAAAACAATTTTATGAGATGTTAACCCTGCTGAAAAGACCTGCTTAAACCAGTCTAATCGGGTTTGTAAGCTGGTTCAAATGTATCTTGAATATAAATGTATTTTGTGTTTTAAGCTTAAACCTCACAAATGTTTTTATTATATTAATTTATTTTATTTTATATTTTAGCTATTCTTGCAATATATATGATGTACTATGAAATGTCATCATCCCTCATTGTTCATACTCATTATATGTTTGTTTACAAAGTCTTACATTCATCAAAAACATATTGCCTATCATCTTTTACTGTTCACGGCATTAGCGTATTTTCATAAAACACAGAGACAGAGCGGTGCAGGGTATTCTGTTTTCTTTGACTTTTAATGGTCACGATCCTCATGACTTGTCCTTCCTCATGATATAGACTTCTGGGGAGACTCTAGTACATCTAACCTTTTGGACATTCATCTGGGTGGTATGTACGACGATTTGACTTAGCGCTCATGCTAATGACACTAACAAACAGGTTTACCATCTTACAGGCTCATTAGTTTTGGTGTTAACACAAATTAAACAGCCGTTTTAGAATCTTTATGTTAACAGGGTGGTGTAAAAACAGGCTTTCTGGCTTTTTTCGTGCTGTGGACCCTGTGCTGTCTGCTTGCTGTTAGCTTTGTGTCTAAATTGGATCTAGATGCTCGTGGTAGCATTAGTTGTATCGTCTGGTGGGTGTGACTGTATGAGATGAGATGTAAATGGCAGTACTGTTGGAAATACAAGCACAGATTTTAGTTGGGGTAGATGGTATATTTTTAGAAGCTATTTTAACTTTTACTTTCAGCTAATCTCTCTGGTGGCCTACTTTCTGAGACAGCAGGTTGTCAGTCAGACCACTGCCTGGACATGAACATCCAACTCGACCCATTTCAGCTTCGCACCTCACATTCCTCCACTATTCCCATCCTTGCTTTGTTGCGTTCCTGAATTCCTGAATTCCTCCTCTCCCTCTTTTTTTCTGCCCGTCTCTGCGGTCTTAGTCGAGCCCTTTCTAGGTTCCCCTCATAGAAGGCCTGTCTATCTCTGTCCTTGCTGTTCCTCAGAAGGTAACACCTCACCAGCTTCCTGTGTGACTCACACCTCTAGTGTGGATTTTGTAATAGCAATAATTTCTAAATCCTTTTACCTTTCTCTCCTCTGTACAGTCTTTTTTCTTTATGTAGTGCAAGAACCTCCACTTCATCAGCTAAGTACGTTATTCTCTCCTGTAATCTCAAATTTCGTTCTGTAACCTTTCGCGATGGAGTTGCATGGGCATGACACGTCATTGATCTGCATGGCTGTCAGTACATCTAAAATGTCACATCCTGTTTTATTTGGGAATTGCTGGGATTGACACTGTGTGTGTGTATGTGTGCGCAGATGTTTTTTTTGTATTATTGTCTAGTGTGTATCAGCTCCCTGTTTGTTTTTGTCTGCTTGCATGTTTTGATAATAACACTACTGTTCAAAACAAAAAAAAGATTTTTTTTTTTTAAGAAATTAACTTTTATTCAGCAAATGATGCATTGAATTGATCAAAAGTGACTGTAAAACATTTGTAATGTTACGATAGTGTAAATGTTGTTCTTTTGAACTTTATTTATCAAAATATCTTCAGTTTCCATAAAAATATTAAGCAGCACAACTGTTTTCAACATTGATAATAATAAGAAATGTTTCACCAAATCAGCATTTTAGAATATTTTCTGAAAGGTCATGTGACACTGAAAATTGGAGTTATGGTTGCTGAAAATTCAGCTTTGCATCACAGGAATAAATTACATTTTATATTATATTAAAATAGAAAAGAAATTTAACTGTATTAAAATTTCACAGTTTTTAATGTATTTATTTGTCAAATAAACACAGCCTTGGTTAAACACCTAGGTTCAAAAACATTAAAAGGTCTTACTGACCCCAAACTTTTGAACAGTAGTGTAGTTTATAAGCAGGGTCCAAAATTAGCTTTTTAAAGTGTTTTTCAATTAATATTATAATAAATTATTTAATAAAATGCAAATATTTAAACATACAAAAACAAATTTATAATAGATTTTTTATTTAAAATTCTATTTATTTTTTATAATATATATATAATTTTATTTTATTTATTTATTTTTTGTATGTCTTTTATTTGACTTGCATGTCTTTAATTTTATCTTTCAAGCTATCATTCTTATAGTTTAACCATGTTATATTGAGGAACCAAAGCCGAAGCCAATTTTTACTTGCATTTTAGCACCCAAAAAGTAATAATTTGGACCCTGTTTAGACATATTCATGCATGTGTATGTTAGCGTGTCCAGTGTCCCATGCTCCTCTTCTCTCTCTTACAGGAATGGGAAAGAAAGATGATCCTAGCTTAATGCATCAGTGGTTTAAACTGGTGCAAGAGAAGAATGCTCTCGTGCGCTATGAATCTGAGCTCATGATATTGTGAGTATTCAACAGTTTGAATGTTTAATAGCATCTGAACTGTGCGGACTGATCTGGCATTGTGTGATTACATCAGGTATTACATAAGTGTTCAGCTTCTCGGTTTGGTCTAGTATTGTTTGATCGCTCTATTCTCATCTGTGTGGTCTGTCCACAGTGCACGTGAACTGGAGTTGGAGGACAGACAGAGCCGATTGCAGCAAGAGCTGAGAGAGCGCATGGCGGTGGACGGTTAGAACACACAGAGGATATTAATAGTTCAACTTCCCCTTACTCCTTTGTGGTTTTCTCTCATAGTTGTTCTTTAATTAATAGCAGCTTCACAGCACCTCTTTCTCTCTCTCAGACGATCTGAAGGGGGAGGATGAGCTGGCGGAGGAGAGGCGTATATTGAGCGAGATGCTGGATGTGGTGGAGCAGAGGGATGCGCTGGTGGCCTTGCTGGAGGAGCAGCGAGTGAGGGAAAAAGAGGAGGACAGTGACCTGGAGGCCGTCATGCTTTCTAAGGGCTTCAGTCTGCACTGGGACTGATTTGCACATGCATGAATCTCATCATACCGCTTGAAGGGCTACTCTGTGTCTGTTTGTGCAACAAAAATACGCAGCTGCTGTTTTCATTGGTCCAAACAGGCCCGTCCACCTGCACTCTGGGCCGTATGTGCAACTGCATAGGTGTCTAAATAATGAATGCCAGGACACAGCAAGAGATTGACCCAGAGGAAGTGATTCCTCCGAGGTGCAAAATACTGACCCTGATTAGGACAAATGGCAATGTCTTGCTGCCAAATACTACTACTCTAGACTGCTACGCTACTATGCAACGGAACATCTTTTTGTTTGCTCTCTTTGTTGATAAAGTTAAGGTACATCTGTAGTTTTACCCAGATCCACCATGTTTTGACTTAACAGAAATGAATATGGAATGGCATATATAACCACATTGTCAACATACAGTACAGACTGACGCATGTAAACTTATACAAAATAAGACCTGTGTTTATGAATGACTGAGATGTTTTTCTTTTTTTGGACAACCTGTATAAGCTAACCTCACACACAATTGTCCATTCTTAATATTCATTTATTGGATGAAATGTGCTTTTTAAAAAAAAAAGTATCTTAATTTTCTCTGCATAATCTACTTGCACATAATTTATTTTACATTTTGTTGCTGTTATATTTAATTCTGTAAAACTTCCTTGCATTAAACAACCATTCTTTTGAGAAAAATGTATGGACTATTACATTTTCATTTGGAGTTTGCACACTTGTTTTGTTTTTTGGCATGAAAATCATGAATGTATATTACACTTTGGTGTTTCTATTACTTTTTTAAAGCAGTACTTATAATGCTAATATTAATAAGTAATAAAAACTAAAAACGATGTCATAATTTCGATGTAATTACAAAATTTTTTATTAATTATAAAACTATTATTTAAAATTAAAAATAAAACTTGTTAATATGCCTACTTTAATTGTAATGTTAATTTGCAGAAAATGACAGCATTACACAATTCAGTGCTTTAACTTTATTTAGGCCCAAATGTCTTAGCAACAGGGGTGTAAAAATGTCATTACCCAATATATATATATATATATATATATAATAAACAGCTCATACAAAATTTAGTTTGACATCTTTAAGGCCGTCAGTTAACATTTTCCAAAGGCGACGCATCTTCCCAAATGTCTTAGCAACAGGGGTGTAAAAATGTCATTACCCAATATATATATATATATATATATATATAATAAACAGCTCATACAAAATTTAGTTTGACATCTTTAAGGCCGTCAGTTAACATTTTCCAAAGGCGACGCATCTTTTTTTCACAGGCACAAAGGTTTCAGCGCCTAAAAGTGCGTTTTGCACACTTCTACATTTCACCATATTTTTAGGAATTACAAGCCTCGTTATTTGCGAATATTTTAAATGAATAACCCTCGTGTGGGATTGCGTGTGGACGGGCGCCCCCTGCTGGAAAACGCCAGCACTGTTTTCCTGTGGATTGACCGTAAACGCAGTGAAGTCACGCCTCTCCATCTTTCCTGCTACACTGTTTCCGTTCGTGGGAAAACTTACTGCCATTCCCATTTTTTCGAGCTCCGGAACTTTTTTTTTTTTTTGACTACCATGAAATCAAAGGTCTGCTTACCGATAGTTTATAAGCGTTTTACTTATATCGGTCACAGTTAAAACAGTCTTTACCTCCATATATATAGGCTACAAAAGCAAACGAAAGTGAGGAGAGTTACTTCGGAAATAAGAAAGCAAGTCGGAAAACATAAGTTGTGCTTCCAGTAAGGTCAGTAAGGTGAGTAAGGCTTAAAAAACGTCAAAAGTGTTATTCTTATCTATATTTTTAATATTTACCGTTGTTTACTATGGAAGTACGTGCTCTTAGCTTGTTGTGCTGTTGATGTTTATCAGTTGCTAGTATGTTTATATCCGTTTAAGGAAATACTTCCAGTTTTGATTTGTTAAGTGGTTATAATGTGGTAGGCTATTTAAACAAAAACGAACGTATATGGAAGTTTAAATGTGTCAAACTAAATCAGCCTGTTTTAGGAAAATCTCTGCTACTGCGGAAACGTCTTGATATGGAAAGGTATGCTAGCCTACTTACGCAGATGTAGACGTGCAGTAGATTAAGCCGATTTGGTGCTGTTCACGTGAAAGCAGTGCATCTGTGTTCAAGGCCTACAGTTTAATCAAACTAGGCTTCTTTAGCGGTCAGTAAACTTTCAATGAGTTGTTCAGGGTGTGTGTGTGTGTGTGTGTGCGGAAGCCGCGGGCTGTGTGATTAGCGCTACACTGGAATGTGCAGAATTGGCGCATCTAAAAAGCGCATCACAAGTTGAAAGCAGCTGCTGGTTGTCTGCTGTAGACTCATGGAAACACTGAACATATTTACACGCACATCATTTGCCTATTATGGTCGGTGTTTTGGTTAAGCCTTTAATCTGAAAAACTGCAACTGGAATATTAGCTACTGTATATTTCAGCATGTTCCGACTATGCCTATAGCTGTATTAAATCAAATGAATACAACTCTTTCATTCGGATTTTAATTATATTAACTTAATTTTCTTAAAATAGTCTAATTAAATCTTTCTATGGCAATCAGGTTAATATGTTTCCATGGTGCATACAGAATCATAATATGACTTAATGTTGGATTTTTATGTAAATACAGGGACAAAAGTTTTTTTCACTTTGGGTAATTTTTGAAGATAATAAATATGTTATAGGCTATATATATATATATATATATATACCGAAACTCTTCTTTTATTGTTTAAATATTCATCTTTTAATATTAATAACTAATATTAATGTTTAAAACAATTGAGGTGGGGAAGACTTTAAAGGTCATATATGACCCTATATTTGGAGAACTAGTCAGCATTTTATGTCGCTTTAAATTTGAAGATTCAGAAAAAATATAATTTCAAGAGAAATTACTTTTTTTTCCCCTGGATCTCATTATATCTCATCAATAACCACTCATCGCTATGGAAATCTGTTGTTGACTCAAGTCTCTCTATTTTACATACTTTACCACTTAAGTATGCATATCAGTCTGGCCAAATCTCACCCACAGCCAGATAGTAGAGATAGCACAGTTTCCTATTTTAATACCAGGGCAGTGCATCCCAAAATTCATTGCACCTCCAAAGAGGTCACACGGTTAATGCTAAATAGTCTTATTCAAGTGTGAACTGCAGCAGGTCAGAGCCCAGCCTCTTTTGAATAGAGAGCAGAAAAAAGAGCTAATGACATAATTAAGGACGGAGACAGAACATGACCTCAGGCTGTTATACACAAGAAGAGTGTGTCCTGTGCTAAATATTTGCATCAAAGGGCATTTTTACAATAACTAAACCTTTTATGTAGTTTTTGAGCTAACCTTAAACTCTACACACATGCAAAACAACGTATGCACATTGCCTTGCATTTTGGTCAGGTTTCAGATGCTTGAGAGGCAACTAATTCACCTGTTTTTAAAACTAATATCTCATCCATCAAGGGCTTATTTTCTGTTTTGACAATGAAAATTTAATTTTCTGCATGGAAGGCATCTTTAATATTCATGCATGTGCAGGAAAGCTATTAGAAATGCCATCGCTTTAAACAGTTGGTCTTATGAAAATGCCAGTTGTTATAAAAATATCAGACAGGCTGTTTTTCTGTTTCTGCTGTTGCTTTAGTCATGCTGCATACAGTCATAAAGTCTTAAATTCAATGTGACTCGGGATAATATTACACATATTTCTCTCTAGCATGACCGCGATGTGTGTTGACAGATATTTCAATGATCTAAAAGCTCATTACTAATATAAAAGTTACAAAAACCGAGTGCTTTCATGTGTGCATGAAGTGTTTAAAACATGAGTGTGTGTAGTATCTTGCATTATACTATCTTAAATTATATCACAGACATCTTTGCTGCATAATTATATAAATTGGCATCAGAAGAACCATCATAAAACCTTTGTTGGGGGTTGTGGGCAATATTAGCCCTAAAAGCATGCATATTTCAATGCATACATGGAATATGCATTTAGGGTACCTGCAAAATACTGTTTTTAATTATGATTTGGGACCTATTAATACTAATCTAGCATGATGTAGTATGTACTATTACACAGTTAGTATACAAATAGGGATTTAGTCTGAGTATGCAAGGGATAAAAGAGGCATAGAATATAGGCTAATACATTTCACAATTAATTACAAAGAAACAGCATTTAAATAGTAGCATTTAATAGAAGTAACATTTAAATAAAAGTACAATTTTGAAGCAGACAGACTGAAATAGTGTTTTCTTCTAAAACAAACTCCAATAATCTTTATTTACAACTTTGAAAAATAATTTTTTACAGTGTAGTTTATGAGTTTATCTTTGCTTATGACACACCATGACTTCACCTATATCTTCATGCCATTTTTTTTGTGGTGTAGCTACTGTTTAATTCTTAGAAAGAAACTAGTAAAGCAGGTTGAAATAGCCTTTTGCTTGCTGGAGGATGAAATCAGCACTAATTTTGTTCCTTCATTCCCAACACGCAACTTCCAATTCCCTGGAAAGTGTTAGAATGTGATTTTTGCCAGCAAGTCAACCAGCATTCCCTGGATGGGGAGTTAATGGTAGTTGATTTACATATAGGACAGACTGTTCGGGAATACATCCCTCTTGAGTGCCTGAGAGTGCGGTTTACATGCAGGCCGGCGCGTCCAGCTGAACGAATTGGCCTGTTTGAAACCACAGTCATGTACGATGAGAAACATTCCTATAAAGACACGAAAAGCTTGTTGTCTCAGAATGATCTACATTGTCAAAGAATAGTGTACAGAGACAAGGTGTGTGTGTGTGTATGTGTGTGTGTGTGTGTGTGTGTGTGTGAAGCGCTGAGCAAATTGGCAGGCAGATGTTCATTATAGTGTTCTACGAGGTGGCAGATTGTGCTTCCTCATAGTCTGTTTAATTAATACTCCTTAAACACACATCTGGGCAGCATTTACAGTGGAGTCCAAAAATCTGAGTTTAATCTGAGAATCTGAATTTAGTTTCAAATTCAAACTTAGAAATAAACACCCAGGTTTAGACATTTAAGAAAAAAGCCAATTTATTCTATAATTTTAATGAGAAATATTAAAGATTCTGCACTATTACTGCACCAGTATAATAAAATATATAATATAATATAATATAATATAATATATAATATAATATAATATAATATAATATA